GCCCAGCCAAGGGGGGGGGGGAAGGGGGCGGAGCCCCCCAGCCAATCCCGAAGGAACTCGGAAAAATGGGCGGGACATGGAGAGCCAGCCTAGTCTGGAGCGAATCGCCGCGATCTTCCCAGCCAATTAGAAGCTTAGGCCAACTGGTTGCTAGGAGGAAAACAGAGGCTGAGAGAGATGAGAGATGTCGTCTTCGGGCCAGATCTCGTTGCCCTCGGAACCACTGAGGCTCTGGTTCCAAACCGAGTCCTGAGAAACGAGTGGATGTGGTGGAGCGAGGCCAGATTACGCGGGATTTCTTAGGCTTTAGGATTTGGGGTGTGGAGTTCCCTGGGGAACTTGCAGGGGTTTTTTGTTTTTGTTTTTTGTATAATTTGCATTTAGTAAAATGTATAATCTTTAATGTACAATTCGATGGCTTTAGATAAATGCTTTTAAAAACACGAATGCAGGGTTAGCGAGATGGTTCAACCGATGACGGCTCCTCACAGTGGAGAGAACATACTCCTGTAAATTGTTTTCTAACCTCCGCATGCGCTTCCACACGCAGACACACTCAAGGTAAATGCCAAAACATTCTAATGCCCGGATATAAGAAAGGAGCCCAGAGACCTGATTTTATGCTTTTGTTTGTTTATACGGGGCCCGGGCATTATTTTGGTTGCCTATATTATTGATGGGGCGACATAGCCGCCTAGATCTTTAGTTTATAGATAGGGCCTTTTAATCTGGTGAGCCTTTGAATAACCAACAGTTCAAAGTGTGGGACCAGGAATGAATCAGGACCTGTACTGTCACAATTCTGTGGTTGTCCAACCTCCAGAGTAACTGAAGTTGAGACCAAGGGAAAACCCTGCCTTTGAGGGCCAACTGTTCTCTGTTCTGGTGCCTTTTGTTAGCAATTTCCTTGGTCTGGAAGGTCCCTACTTTTTTTTTCTTTTGGGGGGAGGGGTTTCGAGACAGGGTTTCTTTGTGGCTTTGGAGACTGTCCTGGAACTACTTACTTCTTATAGACCAGGGTGGTCTCAAACTCACAGAGATCCGCCTGCCTCTGCCTCCTGAGTGCTGGGATTAAAGGTGTTCACCACCACCACGCGGCCAGGTCCCTACTTTTTTTGTTTTGTTTTTTTGTTTTTTGAGACAGGGTTTCTCTGTGGCTTTGGAGGCTGTCCTGGAACTAGCTCTTATAGACCAGGCTGGTCTCGAACTCACAGAGATCCGCCTGCCTCTGCCTCCCGAGTGCTGGGATTAAAGGCATGCACCACCAACGCCCAGCTCAGGTCCCTACTTTTTCCTTCAGCATTTTCCCCTGACTAGTGTTAGGATGACTTCATCTTTCACCTCTTCCAGGAAACCCCACCTCTAAAGAGACTACTAAATTGGGCTTCCAGTTCCATTGATTACATCATTTCTGCCTGCCCATTCCCCAAAGTTCCTCAGTATAGATCTGAATGGCACAGTACAACTGAGGAAGGTCATGGGAAGATGGATCCCTGCTCCTGGGAAAGTTGTCTGCACATGAGCTTTGGTCTTCAGAACAATAGGATGGAATTTCCAGACGGTCTCAGAGGAGGAACCCATGATCCTAAGAAGCTGAGCAACTGTCCTGGGTGGGAGGAAGGAGCCCAGGCTTCAGAGTTAATCTCACATATTTCATCTCAGGCCCAGGCTTTGCTGTGACCTGTGCAGTCCCTTCTCACTTGCCTCAGTAAAGTAACCTGTAGGAGGTGCTATTACCTTGATGGGAAACTATTATATTGGAATCACACTAGACAAGCTCTGAGAAAGTACCAAGCACATGGCTCTTCCTTTAGAGCAGGAGAAAGGAAGGAGGCAGAAACTATGTCCCATCCCTCCTTACGGAAGCAGATTCAGTATCTCCAGGAGAGAAAGCTGTCACTGGGCCAGTTCCAGTTTTGTTAAAAATAATTTATTTATGAGCCTTACAAAAATACATTGGCAAGAGAAAAATAAAAGTCCTGTAGGAATGGGCAGGTCAATCCTTCCTTCTGGTAGCTCCCTTGAGACCCTGCCAGAGTGGGGGGGAGGAGTCAGGTGAGAGCCCCCAAGCTCAAAGTGGAAGAGGAACAGGTCAGAAAGTAGAGGGCTGGCCTGAGCCCTCCTAGCCATGGGGGCCGACCCAGCAGGCACCTAGGCACAGGGCAAGGGCTGTCCTGGGAGGACAAGGGAGGGAGGAAAAGAGGGAGGGGGCACTGAGGACTTGTCAGGCAGGAGGGCCTGCTCAATCTGTCTCTGAGGTGAGGCCCCTGGGCCGGGGCTGGGGTGGCAGAACTGGGGGGGTGGGATGTCCACCTACAGCCTCGGGGCCTCCTCTGTCTTCTATAGCCATTCCCTGGTCCACCTGAGCAGGCATGTTTGAAATGACTGGGCCAGGGGAAGCTGGGCTGGGGGAGGCTGGTAAACGCCGACTCTGGCGCCGGGCAGGCTGTGGAGGAACAGGGGGTAATGGGGGAGGCACCGTGGGGGCCCGGAGGCTGGTGCCCACCAGACGGCGTGGCAGAGCTTGGGGAGTGCCAGGGCTGCTAGAGCCAGGGGGGAGGGGGGGAGCTGGAGGGGATGAGCGTGTACTGGAGGGCTGGGGAGGTGGCATGGTAGGCCGCGCTGGTGCCGGGCGCTTGGCTGTGGAGGAAGTGAAAAAGAGGAAAGTTAGGGGTTCATGTGTCTGTGTATGTTCCTCCTGCAGGGTGGGGGTGGGGTCACTTTCCACAGTGGGTCCTCATCATTTTAAGTGTCTCTTTACTCCTGTGTGGTCCTCAGTATCTCAGCTTACAGTAGATCCCCCAGACCTCACCACAGTTGCACTGTCACCTTTCCCAGTTTTACTGGCTTCAGAGGATTTGTCATCTGAAACGATCTCGCCCATTTTTATCTTACTTGGTCTTTACTCGTGCCTCTCCCTAGAACATACGTCCAACATGGCCACTGGTTATAACAGTCTAGGTGTCAAGCAAGCGTGGGGACACATCTGTTGACTATACAAATGTCAGCTGATCCCACTGACACATGGGTCCTGCTTGCCTCTCGGAAGTCCCAGGTCCTTGGGCAAGCTTGGACCTTGTGAGGCAGCTGGGGGGTTCTGGGAGGCTAAGTGGAGCTGAGGCCAAAACTCCCTGGCCCTCTGGACTGGGTTTTCTGGGGTGGCTCATTTGCTCCCATTTCCTCACTGGTGGGATGGGGTGGGAGCCCTACCCTCCCACAGCTGTCAGGGCCAGGTCTGGTGACTCTAGCAGTTCCTGTCTTCCAGGTCCCTGTGTGACCTGCTGCTGCTCTCCTAGCTCTACGCAACACGCCCAGCTCTAAAACCCCTTATCCTCAGGGCCTGCCGGTCAAGGGCTCCCCAGTGATCCGGTCCCCACGTGGATCCCTGGCCTCTTACCTGTCCATTCTGGGCCAGGTTGACATATGAGTGTGCCAAAAGAGCTCAGGAGCCTCCAGGACTCCTCCCAAACTTGTTTTCCCTCTGCCCTTAAATATGGTTTTGGCCCTGTGCTTTGTAGGCCCTGGGCTTCTGGAGGGCTGGACCACCCACCACGCTTACACTGGCTACCTTTCTCTAGCACTTTCTGTATGACGGAGTCTGGCACACTTCCTGAGGTCCCAGCTCACAAAGCTCTTCAAGGTCAGGGCAATTACAGTTTATACTGCGCAGGGGGTGCTGAGGCAGGCTGCATTACCTGTCCATGGGATAAGAGCTGGGACCTGGTTAAAGTGCCAGGCAGCAAACCCTGAGCATCTCACTCCTTTTCTCACTATTGCTGGCCTTTCTGGTGCTTAAAGATGTGGGCGGACTGGGGGTCCCGGCTCTCCGGCTCCTCTCCCACACCCACTTACTCCTCCGAGTCATGTCCTCTGCTGATGCGACCATTTCCATGGGGCTCCTGCTGACCTTGGGGGAAGCTGGTTTGGGCAAATCAGACTCTGTCCTGTCAAGGGAAGAAGAGGGGCAACGGTCAAGCTTGGCCATCTCCTAGAATCCAGCATGGCTCCCAGCTGTTGGGTGGAAGGGCTTCTCCTCACTGCGTATGACTATCCTTATCCTCATCCCCTTGGTAGATACTTCTTGTATGGGTGAGTCTGTGTCCTGCTTAACTTTGTCAGCCTGACACAACCAAGAGTCACATGGAAAGAGGAGTCTCAACTGAGGGACTGCCCAAATCAGACTGGCCTGTGGGGAGCTGTCTTGATTGCTGATAGATGTAGGCAGGACCAGCTCACAGTGGGGTCGTGCAGTCCCCGGACAATGGTCCTGAGTCATATAAGAAAGCTGGCTGATGGGAGGTGGTGGTTCAGGCCTTTAATTCCAGCACTTGGGAGGCAGAGGTAGGTGATCTCTTTTAAGTTTGAGATCAGTCTGGTCTATAGAGTTCTAGCCAGGGCTACACAGTGAAACCATGTCTTGAAACCCCCCCCCCAAAAAAAAAAAAAAAAAAAGGCCAGGGCTACACAGTGAAACCATGTCTTGAAACACCCCCACCAAAAAAAGAAAAAGAAAAAAGAAAAAAAAAAGGTTCCAA